TGTTATTTATTTATTTATTTATTTATTTTGAGACGGAGTTTCACTCATGTTACCCAGGCTGGAGTGCAATGGCGCGATCTCGGCTCACCACAACCTCCGCCTCCTGGGTTCAGGCAATTCTCCTGCCTCAGCCTCCTGAGTAGCTGGGATTACAGGCACGCACCACCATGCCCAGCTAATTTTTTGTATTTTTAGTAGAGACCGGGTTTCACCATGTTGACCAGGATGGTCTCCATCTCTTGACCTCATGATCCACCCGCCTCAGCCTCCCAAAGTGCTGGGATTACAGGCTTGAGCCACCGCGCCCGGCTAATATGTATTATTTAATACAGCAACAGCACTGTACTATTTTGGGACCTTCATATTGTTTTATGTGTTAAGACTGTAATGGAAGGGAACCCTTACATCAACCCTGAAACCGGGAGACTACTGAATCTCTCTGTGTTAATTATGTGTCCCAGTACCAAAAGCCTGCTGTGAACTTGTTAAGTCCATGAAGAGGGAGTTCTGTTTTTGGTTGTAACAAAGGTGTTTCCATAAAACCCAGCCTTAGCAACCCCTCTTCTGTCACTAATGAGATCTAAGATATTCTGCAACCTCATGGCTCTAAACTCAAAACCTTTTTTTTTCCCTGTTAATAGAATTATCTGTTGACCAAGGTTTTCAGAAATGCCAAAAGAAACTTTTAGCAGTTTCTGGATGGGGAAGTTATTTGAAGATTGTTGCCCTTTCTGCCTTCCTTACATAGTCCTTTAATGCTGCATACTCCCCTTTTCTTGGGCAGTAACACTCTCCCTACTTTTTAATTGCCAGGAAGGAAGAATGATCAGAACATGTATGATTATATAATTATTTGCATATGCACAGTTGACAATCTAGTGTTAGTCAAATAAATTGCCAGCTCAATTTTATCTGAAATACCCTGCTACCCTAAAGCTGCTTTGGTATCTCCATTAGGTGAAGACCTGTTTCCTGTAAGTACACATGGCCAGGAAGCAGCAATGGCCAGCTCATGGACCATTTTGTTTTCCATGATTAGTGTTGTTTGAATGATTAGCTTTTTATTCCCCCTCCCTTTGTTATTGGGCACACTTACCATTGACAGGTTCACATGTCTATTGAAGACATATACTCATTCCTGAGATCATCTCTCTTTTCAGACCCCTTTTGATTTACATAGAAAATGGACAGCAATAGCAGAAGAAACAGTAAAAGTGAATCCTTGCAAACATACGTAACATATGTACAAAATTATACCACACCAATTAATATTGGAGAGACTGAAGTGATAGTAGCTAGTGGGGCTTATTTTTGAGTGGCATTGCATCTCATGGTCATTATGAGGGAAGAGGCATTATCTCTTCAAATCACAATTTTTGTTCTGTGACAGAGGAGAACAAGGGGGAAGCTCTGGGGCATGTAGGAAAAAACCCCGCCCAACCATCACCTCCAAACTACAAGCCAAATGCAGTTGGTATAAGGGAGGGAGATACTTCGTGGGTTGGGCTACTGTGGAGTGATGTGTCTTTGGCTTTTCCCTTGACTCGGGGCTGCATCACTACATAAAGATGTTTATTAGAAGTTGTTGGTCTATACTGGGATGATACTATGTGAACAGAATCATGGGGTAGATATAGTCTCTGACATCTGCACAGAATATAGTAGATAAAAAAAATTGAAGATTGAGGATTACCATCACCCCTTTGTGATTTATCATAGGCTCAGATTATCCAGTATGAACCTCCATAGTTTCCTCTTTGCTGACAACCCTTGAAATGCAGAAATCCCTTTGTTTCCCCACAGTATAACTATTGCACATATATTTGCTCAGTTTTTGGCTGTTGTTACATATTTTATAAATCATTCATCATTAAGGACAATCTCTCTTGGAGTGTCACCTCCCAAATATGGAAAAACTATGTCTCGTTTGCATCATTTCTGCAGTATTTAGCATAGAATCTGAGAATCTCTGGGAATTTATAAAAGAGACTTCAGTTGACATGGAATACTATTTTGTTTATTGACTACACCTATTTTCCCTATGGTTTAGCCATCTCCCTGACTGAAAATTTCTTTTGCTTTTTGGAGAGGGCTTTATTATTTTATTTTCTCAAAAAGGGAATGAATATTTTTAGGCTTCCTGAAACTTGTTAGATATACATGATGCCTGGGCCTTTGCAGGAGCCTCACAGGTTGAAATGATCAGTGTATGTGAACCTAAATTAAACCCTTCCCTCTTGGACTTGATGAATGATGATAGACATTGACTGTCCTACTTTATATCTTGCAGGTGATCATTTGAAGATCTGTCCCCAGGGTTCTACCTGCTGCTCTGAAGAGATGGAGGAGAAGTACAGCCTGCAAAGTAAAGAGGATTTCAAAAGTGTGGTCAGTGAACAGTGCGATCATTTGCAAGCTGTCTTTGCTTCACGTTACAAGAAGTTTGATGGTATGTTATTCAAGTCATATGTAAGAGCCGACAGTTAAGTCTGTACTGTAGCATTTTCGCAGCTCCTCTGCTCCTTCAGTGCTTAAGTTTTTCTCCCGAGATGTTGTCCTTGTTGGATACCAGAGACAAGTTAGCCCTGTAGCCTTATGGCTAGAACACTTCCAGATGCACTGGAATCTGTATGGTAGGCATTATGGAAATATGGTCACAAGGAGCCAAAAAATAGATTATTTTAACTTAAATGCTTTCATTTATTTTCTTGGGTGAACACAGAATAGTGTTGTTGACGCAAGTCCCTTAAAAAAAAAAGAGACTTCCTAATAAAAAGCAGGCATCTGAAAACTGTCTTAGTCAAAAGAGCCAAAGATAATTTACAGATGCTGGACTTCAAATTAAATTTCAAAATGGATCCCCAAAGACAACTAGAATTCCTAGAAGTTTTGCAGAACACAGATAGGATTAAAGTTCTTGAGTTTCCATGCAACAGAGACCTAAAAGTAGCTATTTTACTATAGTCTTCATTAAGCTGGGCTCCACCCTCAGCCTCACATTAGCCGAAGCTCTGGCATAGTCTTTCCATGTGAAAGCTGTGATAGAACCCGTTCTAATCACCTGTGCCAGACATGAGTTCTCACAGGCACACTTTCTCTTAATATTGAAGAAATAGCCAATATGAGCTAATTGAGAGTGTACTTTGATCCTTTCTGAACAATGGCACAGATAACAGACTTTAAAAAGAATATGGAGTCCAAAACACCTCAGAATTCTTTTACTTGGTGCTGTTCACTCAGTTTGAAGATTGTTATGAAGTAGATTTAGTTTTAAGAGAAATGATTTCCTTTGTGCCTGTTTTAAAGGCCATTCTAATTACATAGTACCTTTGGAACATGCTTTTCTTGACATTATGTGTGGTGAAAAGTACAAGACAAATTTTCTAGATATGAAATGTCTCTGAGTATTTCTGCAAAGCACTTGTTACCATGGCAAGAAAGTTAGATTAAATTAGACTTGATATAACTGATAAGGCAGTCCTCAGTTAAAGAACAGGTTGTATTTCAAATGTTGGCTTTGAGATTTGTTATTTCAAACTTATAGCCAATTTAATAAGTGTTAGTTAGGTTCCCAGGCAAGACCACAAAAGCACATTTAATTTATAACGTAGTTGAACTAAAACGCTGTCTATGTGGTATACTATTGATCCTACCTATTTTTTGAAACACATTGTATGCAAAATTGTGACTTAGTTCTATCTCGTTTCCCTGGATGAATGGGGACAATTTAGATATCTGTATATTCGTCTTATTACCCATATTCCCCTACATATATGCTGTAACTGTTAAGAGTATTTAACAGTGTGTTAACACCATGTGAAAATGGGTATTACTGGCAAAATATATCATTAGTCCTCCCTGTCTCTCCTGATCACTGAATTATTATTGAAAAGAATGATGTTTTCTTGACTATGGCATTTCTCATTCAAGATAATAACCTAAGCCTTTTATTTTACTTTGGGGAGAAAACTTAGAAAGATAATTAAATGGTCATCTTTGAAAACATAAGATGCTGATATTTGAAAATCACCACTTAGGGGCTTCATAATGGAATTTAGAAGGAAAAAAATTCTGCTCTTTAGAAATAACTCTCCTGTTGGCAGCACGATGTAGTGGAGATAAAGTTGTTTCCAAGTTCCAAGGCCTTCTACTGCAAGTCACCTCATTTCTTCGTTAGATTTGTATCTTTCTGGCATGGAGCCCATAGTCATTGCCTATGGGCCTGCTGGTTTAGCTATTCTTTTCCCTTCTCGCTCCCCATGGTTTTATAGCACTACTCGTATGAGTCCAATGTGTAGTTTTTCTTCCCCCCCTTAAACCATACAGAGAAACTTTATCAGTAAGTGTTAACATATGTTTTTTTAAAAAGGATAGAAAAACAGTTTTTCTTGCTCTTCCCTACCAGACTTCACATTCAATAAATATGTTAACACTATGCCTTTATCAGTTTCAACACATTAATGTTTATGAAACTCCAGTTTGTTTTTTCTGACTTAAAATTAAAATATGGCATAGGCTGGGTGTGATGGCTCATGCCTGTAATCCCAGCACTTTGGGAGGCCAAGGTGGACAGATTGCTTGGGCCCAGGAGTTCAAGACCAGTCTGAGCAACATGGCGAAACCCCGTGTCTACTAGAAACACGAAAATTAGCCAGGAGTGATGGTGTGTGTCTACGGTCCCAGCTACCTGGGAGGGTGAGGTGGAGAGGATCACTTGAGCCTGGGAGTTCAAGGCTTCAGTGAGCCAAGATTGTGCCACTGAATTCCAGCCTAGGCGACAGTGCAAGACCCTGTCTCAAAATAAATAAATAAAATAATATAAAATATGGCATAGTCAATAAAGTTAGGGAACATAGATAAAAGTTTTCTTTTTTAAGAGGTAGTAGCTGAAATGCATTTGATCTGGAGATGAGTATACTGAAATGCTGGAATACTGGAATGCCAGAATACTTTGCATATTCTCTCCAAGTTAGGTTAAAGAAACGATTAGATAATTTTAATTTTATATGCCATAACCTCAGTTGACCCAGCAAATCATAGTCCCCTAGTGGGTGCTGCATTGATTGACTTTTTTTTTTTTTTTTTTTTTTAAGGTGGAGTCTTGCTCTGTTGCCCAGGCTGGAGTGCAGTGTCACGATCTCGGCTCACTGCAACCTCCACCTCCTGGGTTCAAGCAATTCTCCTGTCTCAGCCTCTCAAGTAGCTGGGATTACACGTGCACACAACCACGCCCGGCTAATTTTTGTATTTTTAGTAGAGATGGGATTTCACCATGTTGGCCAGGCTGGTCTCGGACTCCTGACCTCAGGTGATCCACCTGCCTTGGCCTCCCAAAGTACTGGGATTATAGGCATGAGCCACCACGCCCTGTGATGATTAACTAATTTTTAAGGCTGTCGATTAGGACTTGCCAGTACTTTTTAAGGCCTGACAATCCAAGGGCATTGATTAACAGGCTATAGAATATATCTTGACTCTCAGAAATTCAAGGGTGGGTGCTTTGGTCAAAGAAGTATCCAAACCCTTATAATAGCTAAACCCTGGATCATTGGTGTGAATGGAAGAGAGAAAGTTGGACAGACTAAAAAGATGGTGGTAGGGAACGGGAACCAAGATGGAGCAGTGAGATTGCACAGAGACAGCTGGGGACATATCGTAAGGAAATAGTAAAAGGACACATGGAAACATTTTGGGTCAAGCAACTTCAAAGGAGCACCTTTTGTCATCTCCAAGCTTACAGTGTAAATTCAAAGTGGTGATCTTGACTCCAGACAACTTCATCTATCATCAAAACCTGTCTACGTCTGTGAGATAATACTTCTTTTAAGGAAGAAACAATTACATTTTAGAAAATAAACTTTTCAACAAAAATAAAGTTTGGGAGCTTGTAGAGAGTTAGCCTTCTGTTACCGGAAATCATCCCATTGTCCCAGTTTTTCGTAATTCTTCCTCGATTGACCCTGATCAGGGTTCTGGTGTCAGCTCTGGCATTTTTGGAGTCATTGGATTTGAGGGATGAGTCTCTTCTCCAGTTCCCTTACCTCTAAGGCCTTTTTTGTTCTGTACGCTTAATTTTCTGTTGTTTGCACATCTCAGGAGACTGTACAGTCTATATCAGTTTTTAAGATACAAACGTGTGTGTGTGTGTGTGTGTGTGTGTGTGTGTGTGTGTGTGTGTGTGTGTGTGTGTGTGTTCAGACTTCGGTGAAATACAAGAGAACACTTCCTCCCCCTCTAAGGTTATCAGGTTTCCCATATTTTAAATATGTATTACTGAATTTAAAGACTGGCCTCTGTGTTTTTCTATGCTGTATTTTTTTTTAAACCTACTTTTTAAACTTAGGATGTTTAATACCAGAAATCAGCTATTTGCTGGCGACATAGAGCCAGATCGTGGTAGTGACAGAGCTAGCTGCTCCCCCTCTTGGCCAATTCTGGGAATTTTTTTGATAGTAGAGCTGCTAATTAACATAGCTGAATCAGTCCTCTCATGAATATGCTAATCACATACTTAATTCAGGAGGAAGTTAGGGAAAATTGCTTGGCAAAGGGAAAAGAATTAGAAGTGGGGCATAATCCGTGTTTTGGGACCACAGCGTAAAGACCCACCCCCAAATGCCTGGCATTTTGTGAGAAAATAGTTGTTTTTAAAAGAAGCGTAGTTAAAAACCCAAATAGGTTAAAGTGATTAGAGCTGCCATATTAAATGTATTTCTGAATTTCATAGTAAAAATGTTATACCTATGAAGTAATATTGCTACGTAACTGCCTATATCAAACTGTAGATATTTTGCATGTTTAAAGAACTAAGGAAATGGATGTTGTCTGATGCTAATCTATTGGGAAAACTCCGTTAATTTGTCATTTTTAGAGCAAAATTTGGAACTTTGGATGGGAGGCAGTACACAGGGAATTATCCTAGTTCTGCAGTGAACCCACTGTGACTGTGACCTGTGGCAATTAACTGAGTCTCAGTTTTCCCATCCATAAAATGAGGGGGTTGAGCTAGATGCTCTCTAAAACCCTTTCAATTCTACCAATTCTGTGAATCTTTTAAACATGTGACTAGACCAGCTGCTTTAGTGAAAGGCCTTACAAGATGTTAATTAGCCGTCTGTATGGTACCCTCTATTTTCCCTCTATCATTTTTTAACTCGCAGCTACTTTCACCAGGTCTTTGAAAAACCCTCCCATGAGCCTGAAGCTTGTTAACTTGAATAGTAGAAATTTTCTGAATTAGCTTAAAACGCACATGAAAGAAATAATTGTCTGTCCCATCTATCTGCATGGGCCAAGTGTAAACCAAGCAGCTACCCTTCCCTGAAGCCCTAAGGCCCCTTGTTTCCTATCACTTCACAGAGGCAGGGCACAAAGCACTCTTCAGACTTAGCCGAATCTGTGTTTTAATCACTGACTGCAAATTTTCTGTAGTTCATATTAGCCATTAAC